AACTTGACTTATTGTTCATCAAACATGTTCATATTTGGTTAAGAAAAAAACTACTCCATGTAGACGTGATATATGGACTGCCCCAACTGTAAGTGTGGTTCAGCGTGAACAGAAATATGTGGAACGGCTGTGAACTGTGTTAACCAAGGTGCATGAGTTTACATGTCAGCAGTTGGGAAAGGCTGCCATACAGCAGAAGAGACATAGTAACAAAACAGTCAAAGTTTATCAATTCCAGCATGGAGATTAAGTCTAGCTTTGGTACATGCCCGTGGCATGGAAGCAACTCAGCTCAACTTAATAGGTCCATACTTAGTACTCTGAGAAATATATTCATTGATATATAAAAGACGGTGGTTGTGTGGCTTGTATAAGTCCGTGAAACATGTTGACAAGCTGTGATAACGCATTATAGATGTGCCTCTCATGCAATGATTTGACCAGAAATCAAAGATTGAGACAGATAAGTCAGAAGATGATGAAAGTTCTGTGTCATATCATCTTATCTGAGCTGATGAGTAGGAAGGAATAGAAGATACTTATCTCTTTATGTACACCCAGTCACATGATGAGGAGCCTGAAATGTTGCTAGATAGCTCTAGTTTTTGGACAAGAAGTCAATGACACCCTCACCCTCTTAATGAATACGAGTGAAATTAACAGCTAACATCAGTAACTATTACAGTACACTAGTCGATAAAGCAATGAGTGGAAGCCAGTAGCATTTGAGTGGCATTGTCTGAAAAAATGTATGGACATTCAGTTATCAGTAGTTAGGACAGTCACTGATTGAAAGAAAATTTGAAAATTGCAACCCTTGTTTTCCAAGTTATCAAATGATGTTCATTGTACAATGTATTCACTAAATTGTGTGATTCCTACTTGATTATCATAGCTAAGACAGCTGTTTAGTCAAGAAACCAAAGACTGAAAGGGCTATTTCAACCCTTGCTTTCTGAGCTTTTGGGCGGTACTGTCTGAGAAAATGCAAGGAATGCATTTTGTAACTACCATTCAATTGTCGGTAAATTAAGACTGTTGTCAATCGTAAGATTGCTGGTACAAAAAGGGCTTTGCAACCCTTACTTTCCAAGTTTCCACTGCAAGGTTAGGGAAAGGAGAAGCTGAATGATTTGTGATCCAGGAAAGATATTTGTGTTAGGGGCGTGTGATGATCAGCACAGAAGTGGAGACACGGGATATGTCTCTTTGGCTTTTCCATTCTGCAACTTTGCTGTGGAAACTTTGAAAATAAGTTTAGCTCCTAATTCGTCATATCACATTGTGTTCATTGTAACTTAGTAATGATTCTTCGGTGACTTAGAAGCTAAACTGAATGCAAATTCAGTTTTCGAGCATATCAATGAAATATAGCAATGTGAGTACTTCTAAGTTCGTTTACTTTTCTGGGTTTACGAGATACAACTTACTTTGTGAGTTATAGCAGATTTTTTCTCAAGCATTAACTAGACCATCAAAAGAAAGCAACTCATACATGGAAGTAATATGCAGATAAGGATACTACCAATATTTCACACATTATCAAATAGGTTACATAGAATTAGAACTGTGTTACTTTTAGGGTTGGCAACATGTGAGAAAGAGCTAGAAGTAGCAGTGACACAAGATGTGAAATGAACTCTAGGAATGAGAATGACCAGATAAAGTGGAAGAGGGTATATATTTTTTTTATTAATTGATTTTCTTTCTCATTCAGCACTGTTGTAGCATGCTTTCAAGAATGAATATATATTTACAACGTAAAAGAGGCGGGTAACTGTTTCAGCTAAGTAAACACACATTGAATTTGTTGCTTCATCCTGCTAGCGTTAGGATTAGTGTATATCGTAAAATGTGCAAAAAATATAAAATCTACTGGCCATGGCCATTAGACGATCGCATTGCAAGCGCTGAATCTAGCATTTACTAATGAACTTGGCATGTTTACTTTCTGGGTTGCGTCTTTCAGTGACAAATAATAGCAATATACAGATTATTTTGAAAGTTATTTTATAAAAAGAGTTTGCATATTCAACAATCAAACTTTGCAAAAAGTGTGCACATTAAACTTTCCCCTTCACATTGACTGGGGTTACATGGCTCTAGAATCAAAAGTAGACAAAGCTGGTGAATAAAATTTTTAATTCATAATTTAGGACCATCAACCATTTGGAGGCAACGGTGGGCAGAAACCTACTGTTGTTGTACATGTTATGTAGTTATATATTAATTGATTTTTACTTTATTTATTTACTAATTTATTATTATTGTTATTATGTAGATGTATATATTTTTACACCAAGTTCGCAATTTATATAAGAGGGGATTTCATTACTGATATAAAAAAGTGGAGATCAAGACTATTACTCGCTGCTCCACGCTGTATAGAAAGGGTAAACAAACGCAGGTGCAGCCTAGTATGAACAGTTTAATACAACTGGTGTAACGTAACGTATTATCGGTGTACTAAAAAGGAAAATTAAATATATTATACATTTTTAAAAGTTAAATTATCCAAACAGTTTCATATATTATTACTATTGCATGTTTTTCCTTTTAATTCCTCACATTTCACATTATCAAATTCAAAATTTAAGACGACCCATAGAGTTCTTTTACAAATGAGCGTAATGCACTAACGATATAGCAGAAGTTATGGTTCTTAAGGCGCATCTTGAAGGTATGTTGGGCAAGTCACACCTCACATGAATATATTTTATCAAGAGTAGGTTACAGGAGGAAACCGCTGACTAACATCAGAACAAGGATAGTTGGAGTTTCTAGGGTACGTTATGAGGAAAGAAGAAATTGAAAGTATGATCGTAACTGAAAAGATTAAAGGAAGAAGAGACCGTGGAAGACAGAGGTTGACTTATGTCAAGAGTATACCTAATTGGTTTAATGTATAGATATTGGAAATTCTTTGTGCCTCAAAGAGAAAAGATATGTGGTAGACCATTGTCACAAAAGTCCTGTTTGGATGTGGTACATATAGAGAGAGAGAGACCTTTATAATATAATTTGAAATATTTTTAAGATATAAAAGTTAGGTGTTATCTTTAATAGTAATCGGTAATGATACTGCTGTTCCATTTTTCTGTCTTCTCAGACACTGATAGCCGTTTTCTCTTCACTGGAAACCCGATGAAGGGCTTTTACCTGAAACGCTGTGTTTGTATTCGTCAATAAAATAAATTTAATTTAGCAAGTGTTTTTACCTTTTTTCCAACACTTTGTAATTTTCTCGCCCACTCAATTTTTATCACTACTGTGTATCTGCTTGACACTAACAACAGGAGAAACAAACCTAAACCTAATTTTGTATTAATGATTTAATATAAAATTGAACAGTCTAAGGAAATTGATTCAAATGGACTGTTATATTCTCAAAATATCTAGAAATAAAGAAAAATATTAATTGCACCTTAAATAAATAAATAAAAACAGTGAATATAAAAACATTATGTTTATAGTTTAATTTGCGCATAGCAAAATCACTGAAAAATTAACATTATTGGGACCCAAAATGTACTCTCTGGTTTATAGAAACGCATATTCTTGGGTATTTCGTTTTTGTTTTGTGTTTAATTCAAAAGAATGATCCTCTGGCTCTTAGGGCTTAAACTAGCTAACTATTACTGAATTAATTTTTTTAAATATTACTAGTTTTAGTTTGTATTGATAATCCCCAAAAGAACCTGGCGGGTCGCGGGTTCGAATCCCCGTCACACCAAACATGCTTGCCCTTTCAGCCGTGGGGGC